TTAAAGAATACCAATGATTTTTTAAAATTCATACAACAAAATTCACATTTATCTAAAAATAATAAAATGATTAGTTTTGATATACAAAGTCTTTTTACAAATATTCCAGTTCGTGAAACTATCGAAATTATCTGCAATCAATTATATTGTACGGATCCAAAATTAAGACCTTTTATTCTTGAAGATTATTTTCGTAAATTATTAGAATTTGCTACTACAGGTACTCATTTCCTCTTTAACAACAAATACTATGAACAATGTGATGGCGTTTCGATGGGTACTCCTCTAGCCGTAATTTTTGCAGAAATATTTATGGCACATTTTGAAGAAAAATATCTACCTATCTTACTCAACAACAATGACTCAAAGTTACTTTCCTGGTGCCGATATGTAGACGATACGTTCACAATTTGTACTAAGGATACAGACGAAGATGAAATTCTACAATTATTAAATACATTCCATCCATGTATCAAATTTTCGCTCGAACCTGAAACCGATAGTACCATACCATTTCTCGAAGTGTTAGTAATACGCCACAACAACGGTTTTGATACAACGGTATATAGAAAGAAAACAACGACCAAACTCATGCTAAAATTGGACAGTCTAGCTCCCAAAACTTACAAAAAAGCAGCCATAACCCCACTAGTGAATCGAGCACTTAGAATATGTTCACAACCTGACTTATTAAGTGATGAATTCGAGTGTATTCGTACGACAGCTAACTTCAATAGTTATCCTGCTAAGTTTGTTCAACAAATAATAGAGAAACAATCAGAGAAAATAAAACAACCGAAAGAGCCGCAAAACCAAATTCAACAACCACGAAATGAAAATAAAAAATACAAGTACATTGAAATACCATACATCGGACAACCAAGTTATGTGTTTGCAAAGAGATTGAAATCTATCATTATAAAAAATGATTCTACATCAGATCTCAGAGTTATTTATCAAACAACCAACACAACAAAACACTTCTTTCCTACAAAAGATCCTCTTACTAACCACCAAAAATCTGGCGTCGTATACAAAATAACCTGTAATAATTGCAACCACGGTTATATAGAAAAGACGATAAGACAAGTACACAGACGCCTTGGTGAACATGAAAAAGATGTCGAAAAAGCTACCATGTGTCTCCAAAAGTCCTTTTCTCTGACTCTACCACACCACAAAAACAATCAACGGAACAAACACATAATTCAGGGTCGCATTCAACAGGAAACATCAAGTCAACAATTACGTCGCAGCAGCAGATTACTAAAAAAACAAACACAATCTAAATCACAAATCCAACAGTACGAACAAGACATATACTTTTATAAACCTAATTCTGCTTTGGGTAAGCAGGTAAAAAACACAGGTCATTCAATAGACTTTCGAAATGTCAATATAATTAACCAAGATCAAAACTCATACTGGCTCTTGATCAAAGAATCCATCGAAATCCGCGCACGACAACCAACACTTAATGGCACTGATAAATCTGTTCCCTTATATGTGTTTCCTAAAGGATACAAAAAATCAACCCATCCACTCCAAAAATACTGAAAATAAAGAAAAACACTCTTTACTACACTTCCAACAATTCAAGTAAACAAAAACAAGTACATTCGTTTTTTTATTCTCCATACCGATTATTCTATCACTTCAGACAAATAGACCTAATCTCAAACATTAGTCACTCCCTATAAAAAAAATTCTTTTATTCATTTCCTGCACTCATTTATCTCCATCCACTTAAACAATTTCTCATTGAGTTACTATATTCTTATTGTTCTAAATCTGGTAAGTCGAAGAGAACAAACGAACATCAACGCTTAGAGTAATATTAATGATGCGTTAGTAAAACGAGAGAGCTCTATCACATATTAACTAAAATCAACTACTATATAATTTTTTTAAGCATTATTGCCGCTATGAGCGTGACGATCCTAAAGGGACATCGGAGCTCAACAGTAGTTTGTACAAGTGTAAGTTGAAAAGAAAAAAGAAAAAAGAAAATATGAACCCGTAGGAATAAACAAATAAACTTGAAACCGAATACAAAAAAAAAAGAAAGAACAAACGAACAAAACACAAAAAGTAGGCCCAGTAATATAATGAAAAAAACAAATACAAGCAGTAGCGCCAACTTTTTCGGAGATCAGCATGTGAGTATTCCTTCTTATTCATTCTTTCCTCTTCTTTCTTTTTGTTTCTTCTATACGCAGACATTCATCCTTACTCCATGTTTATCTGATGTTCTCCCTTCCTTTTTTCCTCTCCTCATTTCTCTATGATTCATTACTCGTCTCTCCTCTTCATTCTTTTGTCAGCATGACCTTTTAGCTACTTCAACTATATTTCACTAACTGAAGTTTACCTTAAATGATGCGAAACTCAAAAACTCTTCCTTACTATGTTCTACTGAAGAATCCGAAATTCCGTGTAAAGTCATCCATCTCAATATCTACACCAGAACACCTCTAGAAATTAACTTCATTTTTTCGATTTTGCTTCGTTTCTTACTTAAATTATATGTACAAGTCCTATTTCATTATATTATATTCTTTTTATGATATGGAGTTTAATTTCGTTATTCGTACTCAATCTTTCGTATCCGACCTTCCTGCTCGGTCGTTATTTTTACACACTACTAACTTTAATGGATATTACGCCTGCCACTACTGTCTAACCAAAGGTATGTATCATCATATTCTATTGATGAAGCATGTACTTGTGTTTCTAACATACCAATCAAATCAGCATTGGCAAAAGGGATTATGCGTCACATTTTATTCAATAAAAAAAATTATTCACAACTATGATTGTGGATCACTTTTTTATGTACATGGAATGGTAGTTTTGTTGTATATCCATATGTTTATAATGATTTAACATTACGTACTCACACACAAGTTCTTGCTGCAGCTAAAGAAGCTGAGAACAGCTTAAGAGGTAAATATATCACAAATGTTCAAGGTGTAAAAGGTTTGTCGTGCTTATTAACTATTATGGCATATCATCAACAAATTCTGTTGGACTATATGCACTTGGTTTGCCTTGGACACGTTCCAACTTTAATAAAAAGATGGTGCCAACTCATTGAGAAACAACAAATAATGAAAATTGATAACATGTTACTCATGGTTCGTGTGCCACATAATATACATGTTGTTAATAATGAATCAATTGTTAATGTTGAGAGTTGGAAAGCTAAGCACAGTGGCTTATTTGTGCTTAATATTGGTTTACCTATAGGTTAGTTATTTATTTTATAATTCTTTTTTTCCTTTAAAATAATAATATTTTTTTTGAAAGCAATATATTAATTTGTCTTTCTTTATTGTTTTGATTACTTTAGGAGTCGCCTGTCTTCCTGTTTCATATTCATCACATTGGGCAGTCTATTGTATTACTATAAAGCTTTTACATGCACCAGAATCAGCAAATGACATTGAATTTGCTGAACGCTTAATAAATTTTTATTGTCGTACTATTTCTCAAGTCTTCGACCAATCATTAGAATATTACTCACTACACGCGCATCTTCATCTTCCGGCGCAAGTGAGACTTCATGGTGGATTGTCTTTTTGTTCAGTAACATAGTAATTCTTTGAAAATGTCAACATCTAACGATTGTCTTCTTTTGTAGGCATTTACGCTTGAGTATTGCATAAGACATATTAAGAAAAAAGTTCATGATACAAAGCATTTAGCCAGTCAGATTGCATTTTGGTATGATATGGAAAGCATCGTGAAAAACAAACCATTTGAAATTCCACCATCGACGGGTGTAAATCAGATTGATTTAGATAATGATCAACTTGCAAGCTACCATGACAAAATTATTGATCTTATTCAAATGAATAATCAACACTTGAGACAAATAACATTTTACAAAAGATACAAGCATCGATTCATTACGTATCATACAATGCTTTACTATATATCATTTAAGTGTAATAGTTTTGTTATATCATACATCCAGAATGTTCATCATCGTAATGTTATTAACTATGAAAATATTATTGTGTTTTATAGATATAATGATGAATATTTTGCGTTTATCCAAAAAAATTGTATGTCGAACAAGAAAATTTCTGATTTTGTTGAGCTACCAGACGAGATATTAAAAAAATTAGATCAGCTGTGCCCATTGTTAGAAATATCAAATAATTATGATATTATTTCAGTGGAAGCATTTCGCCATAAATGCATAGCTGTCCAATTTCAAGATGTTCTTTGTTTGTCCGAAGTTCGCGTGGATTTCGAACATGATTGAACATGTTTTCTACTCTATATTTCATTAGTCATATAAATTTTTATATTTCATATTTGTTGTAGTTTTTTAGATTGTTTTTAAGCTGATCTTCTTTTGTTTTCTATTTGGTGCCATGGCATCTACCAATATATATGAAAAAAATTATTTCACAAGTCGACATGTAATCAATGATGACAACACTTATGTATTAATACTTTTCAAGGTTGATAATACATTTATAATTAAAAAAAGTCAAATGTTCATGGTATTGATGAAAATGGTTTAGCGACTATAAAAGATCGAGGCAAAAGTTATGTTGGCTATTGTTTGCTAGAAGGTAAGTCTTTATCACAGATGATTATAAAGATGCAAATAAAAAGTTTAACTTAAAATCTTTGAATTATTTGTAGGTTCCCTAGCTGAAATTGAAGCCGCTGCTGAACGTTTAGATAAACAAATGAATAGTGATCTTAAATCAGACTGTGAAATTATGTTAAACAATTCTAAACTAAATAAACAACAACCAGAAAAAAATTCCAGGATCAACACCACGATGTAATTCAAGTATTTCAATAGATGGATTGTCAACTGTAAAAATAAGTAATACTCAACAGAAAAAAGACAGTAGTATACTTATCGAAAAATAATATTCTTTTCTCTGCTGTTAAAACCGCTTTCTATTTGATTTAGATTGCACACCATCAATAATACGATCATTAGCTCATACTCGTCTTGATTGCAAGCTCATATATATATAATAATGATTGATTATTCTTAAATTCTTCTTTTTCAGTCACATCGAAAACTTATGGAACTCCACCGTCTACACATGTACCTGTTACTAACAACGTTGCTCGAACGACATCATCAAATCAAGGTAAAATATCAGAAAGTACAACATGATTTTTTTCGCATTTTATAAATGTGAAAAAGCATCAAGCCATAACGAAGAATGACTGTCCGTGAAAATTAGTTATTATCTATTTATACTGCACAAATAATATTTATATTTTTTTTTAAAATAAAGATGACATCGCCATTGGAGCAAAGAATGAATATATATTTAATTATTATGCTTGCTACTACCTCTTTTTTCATATGAATATACTCTCATATCATGCTTTCATTACTTTATTATTTAGTGCTGGCAGGATTTTAATAAAAGATGAGTTATAATCACTTAAGAGTTTTATACGCGAATAGACAAATAAATGTTTGACGAATGAAATAGATGGTTATATTTTCCTTATAATAATCAAGACTTAACACTCTTCTATTACTTTTTCGAATATTATAAAAAAATTCTCACTATATTTTTTCTTTTTTTTATCAGACATTATTCCTACTGGTCAAATATTTCAGCAAGTTCAAAATATGGTAGCAAATAAAAAAAATGAACGGCAAACTCGAAAGTTACTAACATTTGATGATGATGATAATGACGACAATGAAAGTGATGGTAATGAATCATGTGAAGAAATAGTTGGTTTAGATGGCTCATCATCATATTTATCAACAAAAATTAATAAAAAAACGTTCGACCATCCAAACGATCTTTATCAAACTCATTAACAACAGTAGCACATGAAAAACCTTCGAAACGACAATGTAAAACGTTGACCTCGTCAGATAATGATGGAAATACAAAAATGATAATGTTATTAAAAGCATCCTTATCATCAAATCAAGATATGTCTCTGGCTATAGATCAATCATCAAAAGATATTAAACACTTGATGGTATCGATAGAGAAATTAGATAGTAAATTGAATGCACTATATGAAAACCAAAGGAAAATTCAGAGAGCTTTAATGAAAAAAAAGGTAAACAATAACTTTGATAATGTATCTTCTTTTTAAAGAAAAGGAGTTTTTATATTTTCTAGATTAATGTATCATTAAATGGTACTGATTTTGGTGAAGAAAGTCAACCAGAGGTTGACTTACCATTTCAGTCAACATTAGTTGGCTTTATCGTGCGTACTTAGTTTTATGTTTCTTAACATTTATCTTTTATAGGTTTATACAAATCGAGATGGAGAAAGTGTTGATCTATTGCAATTGTATGGTGTTAGAACTCACCTTGGTCGTTTTGCTGCTCTAGTTATGGATACTTTATTTACAAAGGAAGAGTTAACATCCATTACAAAAGATGAACTAGTAAAAGATGATCGTTATCTAATTATAAAAGGTTAGAACATATTCAAATTTACTATTATACCAATGTTGTAGGCATTGTTTTGTTTAGAAGCGGTTCGATCGAGATTTAAAATGAACAGCGAGACGCTAAATATGGAATGGCCAAGTTTGCATCAAAGTATTCTACAGAAACATCGAAACGAAATAGAAAAAAGGAAAAAATTTTAGTAACAATATCAAAGCAGCTGTGCCGGTGTTTCAAGCAACACAAGGAGAAAATTTTCATGGAAATGACATACTAGAGATATTTTGAAATGCAAATTTTTCTACATTGTTTTCTTACATTTACATTTACATTTACCTTGTTCTCTACTTTCGTCATTATTTGAATGTTTCTTGTATTATTATGATCATTGTAGCTTTGATTCATATTTTTAGGCGACAACATATCTCGTGTGTGATTTCTTTTTGTTGTTCTGTAAAAAGATATTTTTTGTAGAACATTTTTACTGTTTTTAATAGATGATGACCTATTATATTATAAGAACAAATTTTCATATTTCTTATAATTAACGCTTACGAAATAAAGTCAATTGCAGCTACATCCTGGATTCGATCCGTTTCACCAGTGCATCAAGGAGAAAAGAACCATCGGTTTATTCAGGTTAACCGCGGTAAAACGCTAAAAACGGAACGGTTAACCGCCCAGTTAACCGGATGGTTAACTGCGGTTAACCGGTGGTTTTAGACCGGTGTTAGCGACATGGGTTCTTATTATTTGAGGTTTATTATCATCAGAAGTTTTGTTAGTAGCTCTCAAAAATGATATCGAGTTATTATGGTGTCAATCACAATCCTTCTTTTCATCGTTTAATGGTTGTACCATTTCGTGCAAAGGGTGTTGTTACTGATAGAACTAAATTTGAACATCCAGATATTGCTTTAGTATTGACACAACTTTCATATTATTATTCAGGTTTGAACGATTCACAATTATCTCAATGATTTAATCGTTTGAGTGAGAAAGAAAATAATCCTGTATTCATTTATGACGAATCGATTTTATATGACGATGAAAAAGATATACCAAATAGTATTAAACAATGGAATGGAGTTAATTTAAAAGATTATCAACAATGTATTAATTGTCTTTTCTCTACATTTCGATATAACATGTTAATTATTGATTATTTTGTATTTCCTCCAGAAGCAACATAATTTACATATAAATTAACTGCTTCTGGATGAGATTTATCATCATCATTATTAAGATCAACAATTATCATTGGATTTAGTGAAACTATTGACACACAATTATTACTTCCTGTTCATATTCGTCAATATTATTTACCAGAACTTCGAAAAACAGATGCAATCATTGTTAATAATTTATTAGAAAATGAAAATGAAAATTATCAATTTTTACCAATCAATCTAACATTAGGAGATGTTTTAAAACAATTTGTCGACTATAAACAACGTATTAATGTTATTTTAGATGTTGGAGCTGTATGTATTGATGGAACTAATAAAGATATTGCCATTAAATGGTTGAAATTATCCAATAAGAATAATGTCGTTTATGCCCGTTTATTTTGATTCTGATTCACTTGTTGTTTGTGATCGTCAATTGAATAATTATCCATTTGTTACATCTCATGCAAGCAAGTGATTAGATCGTGGTGTATTTTATTTAGATGAAATTCATACAAGAGGAACTAATTTTAAATTTCTTATGGGTTTTAAAGCTGCTGTAGCATTAGGAAATGGTCTAACTAAAGATCGTTTTGTTCAAGCATGTATGAGAATGAAAAAATTAGGTTCTGGACATTCATTAACATTTTGGAGTTCATATGAAGTTTATCAACAAATTAAAACATTAAAAACAGTGTCTCTTATGAACAAGCAAGAAAATACTACAAATGAATTGATCAAACTGAATGATATTCTTCGTTGGGTTTATGAAAATACTCAACGAGCAACTTGGGATGATTTACATCATTGGGCTACACAAAGTTTAAGTTTTCAACGAAATATTTCTGTTTGTCGATCTATCATCCCATGCAATGATGATCAACAAACATATACAGATATATTTATGGAAAATTTAGCTAAAAAATGTTCAGAATCTGATATAATTGAACTTATAAGTATGTATGAAGCTTTGAAAACATATTAAACATTATTCGAAATTCATTCTAATCGATACGATCAAACTCATCATGATATATGAAAAGAAATTAGAGATGCAGTATTAAAACGATTATATGATTATGGTGGAACAAAACAACGTCTATCACAATTATTAGATGAAGAACAACAAAGAGAATTAGAACAAGAATTAGAAGAGGAACGTTCACCACTTGTCAAATCATGTGAACTTATTCTACATAAAGAAATTAAGCAATTATGGGATATGCTTAATACTATGATAAATTTAGCAGATTTTCCGACTATATTTCGTCCTTTAACATATACTTTTATGGATACAATATTTGTCAATAACTGTCAGCCGACTAACTGGCGAAAAAAAAGTTTTTGAATATCAGCGTGTAATTGCGACTACAGAAGAATCACTAAATCCATTTTTACATCTTCCAAGATGGATTATTATTTACCGTAATGAACAATTAATTTTTCTAAATGCTTTAGATGCTAACTATTTAATCGGCTGCTTAAATTCGCTTTATCACAAAGAAAAATCCAAACAACCATCGACTACAATCTTACGCCTTTTATTACCATGTACTAAACGAATTCAATCAATTATACTGAATACTCCAATACTTTCTGTACCTCCGTCGATTGGACATCAAAATGGTGTCATTCCTTTCTTAATACCTCTCGAATGGTTAGTTCAATTATTTATTTTTAATAGTACACTTTATTTTGAAACAATTGATGAGCAGACAGCTTATTGTCAATGTTTAAGTTTATGTCCGAAAGAAGAAGAAACATTTCAAAATGGTTGGATTGCCATCGATGGTTTTGTCAGTAACTCTCAACATCGTCAATATTTGCAAATGCGTCAAGTTTGTTTTCATGATAATTTTCTAACATTTATCAAACAAATAATTGAAAATCGAAATAATACACATGCATCTATATCACCACATGTTGGTAGTATTATTCTTAATTCATTAAAACTTATTTAATTCAAAGACAAATACTTTTCTTCTTATTGTTTGAATCTAATCTTACTAACAAGAAAAAAAGAAAACAATTGAATAAAGATTAAAAGCTATAAAACAAAATTAATACACTGATTTTAGATATTTTTCGAATTGTACCGACTATAAAACATGAAATAGTGTGCATCAAATACGACGTTTCATTAAGTAGTTGTTTTAGCACAATTGAAGTATTCGTAATTATCTTAACTTTCAGCAACATATTGTCATGCCTTTTCCAATGTATAAGACTAGCAGAAAGTTATAGTCAGTTTAAGCAACATGACTCAAATAAAAATCATGCATATATTGTTAATATATGCATTTCATTCTTTGTTCAAAAGCCTTCTCATCGAAAAAAGTTGCTTGAAAATATTCACATAATTTATCATATTTCTTATTCATCATAACTGCCGTTTATACAGTTATGTGATTAAATTTCGCCAACACAAATATTCACGTACCTTGTAAGTGAATATTCAGACACACCTGAATGATTCTTGTTTATTCATAATGTTATTCACTAATGATTCATTTTTATTTAGTATAAAAACTGAGGACAAGAACAGAAAGAACAAGGTAGTTAAAGAGAAATCAAAATGTCGGCAAATAAAACTGAAGTTGACAATTATTCAACAATAAACGATGTCGAATATCTTACGGTGCCATCAATATTTACTGGTGAAAATATTTATTCAGCGAATGTTGATATTACTAGTGATACATTGGCCGATTTGGAAGAAACTTATCAACATTCATTATCAAACCATGAAGTAGATCAATTAGTCAATCAATTAACTGCAATAGATTATAAGAAGGATCCTCTCGATCAGGAAGATTCAAATCCAGAACATATTCAAAATCATCATAACGTGCAAATTCGAGATGAACTGGATACAACGGCGGATAATTTACAATCACCTACTCCACTTTCATCAGATTCTGCTACTGATCGTGAAAATTCATCACCAAGTATCACTCAAGAATATCCATCTGTTCAATCTCCTATTGAGTCACCTACTGTTACTGTTGAAAATTGGTCTGCCGATGAAATATCTCCAGAACGATCTGCTGCAATCGAACAAATTCAAGAATTAATACAAAGACTAGCACCAGAAAATACGACTTATACATATGATATTCCTCATAGTGAAGTTTTACAAAATATTCGTCAGATTACAACTATTATTATGGATCCACATGTGTATGATTCTCAAAATGGTTCACATATAGTTCCGAATGAATATGTTACAGCTACAGAACCAACAATTCGTATAGGAAATAATAATTTACAGATGATTCACATGGAACCAACATCTTTTTCATCAATAACAAATCAATATCATGATTACCAAGTTTTCGACTCGAATGTTAACAGTGAATCATCATTGATAACTTACGAACACAATGATGTATCAAATACACCTCAATTGATAATGGATGAAAATGGTGAATACATAGAAATACCTGCAGAAGCAATCATCCTACCCTATGAATATAATTCGACTGCGAGTGATCTTTATCAATCAAATGTTTTACATGAAGAATATATTTATAATTAAGATTTCGTTTTTTTTCGCTCTACATGACAAAAATTGTAAAGAAAATTGCTTTTAATTAAGAAATTTTGCTATATATATTATTTAAATAAATTGAAATATATTACGTGGAAATGTGACATGTATTTGCATGATACTATCTAAAATAAGAAGTTAAAAAAATTCAGATACTTATCAGATTATAAATTGTTGAGCCTATTAATAGTCTTTGTCAAGTAAAATACAGAGATTAATATAATAATGAAAAGGACGTTGTTGAACATTTATGAATTTTCTTTTATTCTTGATTTTGTATGAAATGTGGATATAGGTGTGGTAATAGGCATTTCCTTGTCCTATAGCAACATCCATAATCACACCCCCACACTCTCAAGTTATTTCTTCGGTCTTAATTTTTAGTCTTGTAAGTCTATAATTTTGTGCTTGTTTTCTTAATGAGACATTCGATGTTCATTTCTAAAAATTAATTTTCTCTATTATTTTATAAGAATTAGAACTTGTAGAATTTATCTAACCTTTTGTTATGATGAACTTGTTTGTAAAATAAAAATAGTCCAATTCAAGTCTGTTTCATTCACATGCAGGTACTTACTTTCTTAAAAGCTCATGCAAGAATTGAACCTTCCATTTTTACCAATTACAACTCTCTGTGTTTTTTCGTATGTTTGTTCAAGCCATTTTTTAACTTTATTGCAAATTTAATATCTCTTGGAAGATCCGTACATATCAATTGAAGTACGCGATGTGCTCAGTATATTGATTGTCATACTATCTGTGATTCCTGAATATTGCCTAACTACTTCCCATTTCACCATGTTGATTGGTTTCGATAATATAAATCTAGAAAAGAAACTTTAACAATATTTTAAAAACAGATTATCTTGATTTTATAAATACTAACTGACATTCATTTAAATATTGTTACAAGAATGGCAGCAGATGTCTGTCTAAAAGTAGTCCCGAAGATGTTTTAATTCCTTATTGAGAACTTAGAAAGACTTTATTTTTATGTAGCCTAATAGAGAAAAGAATGTTCTATTTTGTTTTCAAATAGGATTTGTATTAAATAAAATAAAATAAAATAAAATGAAACATTATTTAGAAGTATAAGTAACTATGATTTATATAAGCATTCATAGAGTTGGGTGGGTGTGGGTTTGGGTGTGTGGGTGTATGGGTGTGGGGTTTGGGTGTGGGTGTGTGAGTGTCGGTGCGAGTGTTGGGTGTTGGAGTCATAGTTTTTCTCGCACTAACATTTTAAAACAGCCATCTACACTCTAAATTTAAAATCATTTAACTACTTATTCATATAGAAGATAGCACACTAATGTGTTCTTCCCCACTCATTAATCCATTGAAAATTCCATATATGACATGACTCTTTACATAAAAAAATCCATTGCTAAAAAAGAAACAACTTATTGCTAAATCAAAAAGCAGAATAGAGAAAAAGAAAAAAGAAATGTGACATATGTTAGTAAGTTTAATAACAAGCAAGAAAGTCATCACTGAGAATTTTCACAGGTTGAAATGTGTATGACTTTAATCATTCAGTAAGAACAAAGGTGAGTGTTAAAAATTGAAGGCATTTTGTTATTTGCATCTAATTAATATATGCGAAAGAGACAAATTGAACATCCTCTAGTATGTTTTATTTATCGTTTTCCATTACTCCTGTAATTGCATACGTTTTGTTTCATTAAACACTAATTAGTTAGAACGAATTCTGTTGTAAGTTAAATCATTTTTGAAATGTTGAACGAAAATAAACAACCGAGAAAAACCTTTTAATTACTGAAAATTGAATTTTATGCTAGATTGCAAAGTACATAAATGAAATCAATTAATTGAAGTATTAAAATGGATTTTATGAATCTCGCTGAAAAAAAGATCAGATATGTAGACGAACTGTTATCGAAGCTGAAATGTTTGTAGAAAGATCAATCGAATTCGACACATCCCGCGTTTGATTGTGGCCTAAATTTTTTCAGAAAGGCCTATATACAGTTCTATCACATTTTTCAATCAGACTAGTTTAGATGTTATGCACAGAATGAAACAGAGGATACAAAATTTCTAAAGCAGGTGTCACTGCAGAAATTACATCCGTAACATTTCAAAAAAGATCTATCGACATGCTGTTATGGCTATTCTGATATACTAAAGCAAATAAAAAATTGTTTATTAGTTAAACTAAAGATAAGAAAAAGAGACTGCAAAGAAAAATAACCAGAGATTAGTAACACGGAAAATTTCGAAAAAGTACCAATGATAAACCCTCTGATCCTTCAATGCGTAATGTAGAAGTCTTTCGATAAATATCAGTTACTAATGAGTACTAAATACTATTTACTATAGATTCACACATGTTGTATCTTTCAGTCGTCGATAGAGCTGAAAGAAACACAGTTTTAGCATTGAAGTCATAAAGAAATGATTTAATAAACTGTTGAGTGATAATTCCTAATGATTGTTAAAGATTATTACATATTAAAAGATGGAAAGTATGAAGTATCACTTGAGACATTCTTTCTTTCTATGGTTTATTCCATTTCGTTTCTTTGAAATACACCATATGTCACCAGGCATATACATATATGAGTGAACTGCAACTTTTTGGTACGATTGACAGTTTAGCTGTATTTCGCTAATAGCTTCTGTTCTACTAAACTGGTTTAGGCTATTTTTTTATTTGTGATTGGTCTCTAAATGTTCCATTGCCACATAAGACTTTAGCTCTCTAGCACTGTACAATTGTTAAGTTATAGAACCTACACTATCAAAAAATAAATGTGGAAACTTCAGATTTAAATCCGAGATTTATGTTTACTTCAAAAAGTAAATGAGATAAATGAGTCATCCTAGAATGTGTGATCGTAAAAATTATCCGGGTAATATTAATTAGCCGAGTTTTAAGCCTACAGCTTAGATCGCCTACTACGCCGATTGGTGGTACAAGTATTGAATGGAAAGATTAATTAATTTAATCGAATTTATTGTGAAAAATTTAACCATATTTTCTTATCGAATTAAGCTATAGTTTAAGTAATTTTACGTACAAAAATAATAAAAGACTAATTTTTCATACTAGCAGAAATAAAATGAATCAAATAATGTAAGGGCACCATTCTGCTTTATTAATGACGCTTTTAATCATTTTTAATCTGATAGATGTACACGAAGAAAGCAGCCAATCAATGAGTTAGGCCAGTTCAGTCGTAGGCTGAAGATTCGGCCTATTATTATTACCCAAATTATCTTGGCAAACCTTTTCTATAAGAACTTGATTTTTATTGACTACTGCTCAACCAGTAAGATTTACAGACGAATACAGCTAAGATTTGAACTCTTCACATTCATTTACCCTAAGAAAGTCGTTTTTCCTATAACTTGATTTCTATTGGTTACTATTTGACGTATAGGATTTTGAGGCAAATGGAGCTCAGATTCGAGTTCCTCGCCCCAGAAAACCTAGAGGTATCATCTCTGTGATCGAAAGACAGCTCTAATTGTGGACCAATTAGAACGTAGAGACAAAGAACTAATGCCTATTTAATTATTTTTGCAATAACTGAGGAATGACTTGGTCAATCATGCTCACCTTCGAACTCGACCGAGATATTGTTAAGACCGAACTGTATAGAAAATTTCGTCGCAATCGGACTCTCGTTTCAAAAGTTATCGTATAAACGGACGGCCGACCAGACACACTGACCCATTCTAGAATGTACTCACTTTTTGAGTACACAAAAATCATATTTTATATGAAGATGTATTGAGAGAAAAATATTCTTCCAGCAAGAAAAAAATATAATTCATAGTCCGTTTTATATAACTTGAAATGCTCTATCTAAGAAGATATATCTTTTTATATGTTTTTCTTTTTTTTCACACGAATTCACTCGAGATCAAGGGGGAAACAGCAGACCTTTGGACTTGAAGTTACTTTAAGCTAATTATTCCTACTTTGGGCTACTTGGATGGTACTTTGAGCTACTTCAAGTAGTGTATTTTGACATACTTTGGCGTACTTTTCTACTTCAAGTCCGCTGTTTCCCCCTTGTTCCAAATACATAATTACAGACACTTTGCCATTTTTGTGTAAAAAGACCTTCTTTCTTAATTTTCTCTCTTGACTCTTTTATCGATCTTTCTTTTAGTCGAAGAATAGCGATAGTTTTCTAAAAGAAACTGAGTTTTACTGACTTTGTAGAAGGACTTTTGGTAACCTTCATTGTTAATAACTTTTAGACAAATAATCCGTGTTTGCTTAAACTTTTATCGAAGATATACTTCTCAAACTCATATAACTGGTAAAAAATTCAATTGTCTAGTGCTTCTAGTTTTCGAGAAATGCACAAGAGTCGTTTTCACGTAATATTTCAACTAAAAGCGAGTCAAAATGCGACTTTTTTTCTCAGAATTCGACATTATATTGCTGCAGAAAATAACTCTACCTGTATTTCCAAAAAATACTATTGAGTTTCAAAAACGATTTAGTGCATCCGAACTTGAAACTGGTCGCCTATTGTTGATAAACTTACTATACAACTCCAATACATGTTTGACCGACGTTTTTGAGTGTTACAGAAAAAGCTGTGCATAAAATGCATGTGAGAAAACTTTAAAGTTGTTTTTTTTTCTGCAAAAGCATAGGTTAAAGCCATCTGATAATCTAGTATAAAGGTACACTGAAAGATGAAAGTGCGTCTCGAACCTAAATCAACATTTACAAGATGATTCAGAGAACGTTTTCGAAACTTTTTTGTTGCTAAAACGCATAGAAACCGATTTGAAGCTTTAAATTGATAGCAAATAACACTGATATAAAAATCGTATACTTGTAAAGCACATATCTTCCTTGATAATTCACATAATGTTGGGCAAGTTTGGCCTGTGTATTAGTGATATAAAGCCTAATAAAATCCACTGTGCTCCAAAGTTGTTTAGGTGCACTTTCATTTCTCCGACTCAATCGTTCCAAAAAGTTCTAATTCACTCAT